CTGCCCGGCCACATCTACCGCACGCTTCACGACGTTGTCACCGACGGGATGAAGCCGAAGCACGGCGGTCCATTTTGGGCCTTCCAGTTCTGGCTGCAAGCCTACTTTCCGGAGCTGAGGGCGGTGGCCAACATCACCGACACCGAGCCGTTGGCCAACACATTTGCCTGAGCCCCCAGGAAGCACAACACCTCGGCCTTCTGCTACAAATTTTTCTATGGCCTGGCCGAGAGAACTGGCACGTAGTTCCGCGTCTGCCTTACTCGGCCATTCCCCCTATTTCTGGCGCACGACCTCTCCGTCATTCCTGACGGCAAGACGGAGAATGACCTGAAGGAGATATGGGGCACCTTCCTAGTTGCGTGCGACCTCCACTGCGGTCTGTCCAAGGTCGGGGCCGAGGTATATTTGCCAAACTTCGTGGCGCGGCAATTCAGCCTGATCCAGACGGCCCCGCTTCCCCCGTTGTCAATCAACCGGCTCTCGTCCTGGAGGGCCGACGTCGCCCAGCAGCACGGCGTGGCTGGCATTTCCTTCCAACTCCAAAAGGGGATGACCTTCCTCACTCTGACGCCTTGGTTGCGCTGTAATGTGTATGATGAGGATGGAAGGGTCTGGTACGAGGAGTGCGTCTCGGCCAGATTTATTCGGCCTGTTGAAGAGGCCGTGAGGGGGGCGCTGAAGAATGCAAAGTGGGACCCCCTCCCTCCCAAGACTGGCAAAGGGAAGAAGGCCACAGCCGTGCCTTTGCGGCCGAGTGCCCCAGTCGCGACCGTGTCCAAAGCGACAGCCCCTCCTTTGGCTAGAGAGACGGTCATGACCTCGGCCGCGACCCCAACCTCCAGGGCGACGACTGCGGCGGGGGCGCGAAAAACCCTAGCGCATAGGATCATGCCATCCTTTCCGCCTGCTCGGCCGATCGCTGCCGTCGGTAAGTTTTTTCTCTTTCATGCTCTTTCTTCGGCCTCCTTTGAGCCAATTTTGTCCCTGTTTATTCTACCTCTTACCTCCTTTGGTTCTTCCTTCTTCCATATGCAGCCCCAGGTCGTAAGAGGGGTAGAGAGGCTGCGAGTGCCGAGGTCATGGTGACCGAGGGCACTCCGGTCGAAAGGGTCGCGGCCGAGGCGGGGTCATCGGAGTGACCGGGGAAGAGGGCCCTCCTTCTTCTCTCGGAGGGTGAGGATGAGGAGGAAGTCCCCTCTGTAACTGTGATCGAGGCCCCCCCCTTTTCCTTTCTCTCTTTTTTTGACTTTTTATATTTTGATAATCTGGTCCCTTCCTCAGGGCGAAGTGGTGGCCGAGGAAACAGCTGCTGCCGAGGCGATGGTCGGGGAGGCGGCCGCTGCCGAAGTGGTGGTCGAGGAAGCAGCCACTGCCAAAGTGGCGGGAACGCTGGATGCCGACGCAACCGCCGCCGAGGTGCCAGCTACTGAGGCCGCCACCGCAGATACATTAGACAGCGAGGATATCACCGTGGAAATAGCACGGGCCGCCCTAGTGGCGCCTCCTCCGGTTGTTTCTGCTGTGCCTACCTCATCCGTCACGGCCTCTATTGAGATACCGCCAGTCATCCCCCGCCGTCCAAGCGGCATTGTGATCCGTTCGGTAAGCGTTCTTGTTATGAGTTAGTTTCTTCTCAAATTTATTATGTGAGTCGCTGATTAATCGAGCTCCGTTTTCAGCCTCCCAAATCGTCATTGCCTTCGTCCCCGGCCCTCATTATATCGAGCTCACAGCTCGTCCCGGCCGTCGTGTCTATGCCTCTGGTCCTTACATCCCATGAATCGACGGTCGTCACTGAGCTCGTAGTGGTCGAAGCTACAGCCACTGGTGTGCCGAGCCCGCCGCCGGTCTCGTCGACGGTCCTGACCGAGGTTGCAGTTGCAGAAGTCCTCGCCGCGCCGTCGTTCGCTGAAGTGAGTATTTGGACTTTCCTTGGCATCCCTCATCCCTTAGTTGGTGGTTTCACATCTGACCCCCTTTTTGTTTCCTTATCTTCAGGAACCTGCCTCCTCAGATGACCTTGCCGAACTGTATGCCAGCCTCTATGAGGAGGGAAGTAGCTCAGCCTCGGCCCCTTTGGACGAGGATTCCAGGGCCATCGTTGAACGGCTCCGAGAGTTCTTATTCTTTGGGGTTCACCAAATGACCACCGTCAAGGCATTCATGGAGTTCAGGTCCTGCTTGGATGCAACTATGGCGCTCGGTCTTCTAAACTCGGCTCAGCTTGATGAGTTACATGCTCGCTTGGCCGAAGGCGAGGAAATGATCGGCCGGTATGCTGAAGCCACTATGAGGATGGCCAAGGGATGCTCGCTCGAGCAAGAGCTGGCGGTAATAAAGGAGCAAGTCCGACCTGCGATGGCGCAATTAAAAGAAAATGACCTTGTTGTCCAGAGGGAGAATGAGGAACTCGCGCAGGTTGAGGCTCAGATAGCCAAACTCCAGGTCCGTCGAGCTCTTATCCTTCAGCGCCGAGACGGTGCGGTTGCAGTCGGAGCCGAGCTAAAGTCTTCAGCCAAGCAAATCCTCAAAGCAGCAACCGAGAAGAAGAAGGCATTGGCTGAGAGGAAGCTGATCCGGGCGACGTGGTAGGCGGATATAGACGGTGGGGACATCGCTTGGAAAAGGATCACTTGCCTGATCTGGGGGATGTTCAGTGAAGGGGTCTAGGTGGGCGGCCGAAAGAGTTCTTTGGGATGTAAATTTATGTACATATATATGTTTTATTCTTGCTTGGCCAAAAATGGCCGTTGTTTGTAAATATGAACCTTTTATTTTAAATACAAAGCATGGGCCTCCTTTTCTGAATGGTTGAATGTATGCTCCTTTGCTTTAATTTCACAGCACCATCCCTTTTAAAATCGTTCGCCTACTTCCCCCTCTTTTTCTTTTTGACTTTCTTGTCGTAGGTCCTCAGTGCCATTTTTTCTTGAGCTTGCACCGAATTGTAAGCGTCGAGACTTGATTTTTCTAAGCTTTCAAAACACCGGGGCATGGTTTGCATGTAGTCCTTTACCTTCTGCCTAAGTCGCTTGAAAACTCGAAGAAATTGACCCTTTAGCTCCATTAGTTTATCAGTGCCACGGCCGTAGGCCAAGACATAAGGAAACGTGCCCGTGGCCGAGTGTTTCAATGTGCGGTGTGCCCAAAAAACCTTAGGGAGCAAGTCGAACTAAGCCCTGGGTTTTCCTAAAGGTTATGGCTTAGTGTACCTTAGTGCCTTTGGCCGGCTTCGGGTCAAGCCGTTTCGGTCATGCGCCGGACATCCTTGACCCAAGGGCCCTGAGGGGGCGGCTTTAGCCAGGCTGCGGATGGCCGCTGGAACTACGGCGCTTTGCTCTGCGATCTTGTCGGTTGGGTTGTTTGATTAAGGGGCTTGGTTGCCACAACCGAGCCAGGTTGCGCAAGACGAATACCACGGGTTTGGCTAGGGTGAATACGGCCCTTCGGCCACGATAGTATGGTTACCGAGCTCCGTGGGATGCCATCATTCCGGTGACAGAAACTTGGGCGCGTCTGTCCTGCCGTTGGAGTGGCCGAACCGTATGCCTGCGACGGCGATGCCACGGCCGGAATTCTCTAATCGTCCTGTTGTAATGAAGCAGTGGTCGCGTCGCTTGGGCCAGGATGGGTCTGGACGGCCGCAGTGTGAACTGGGCCGAGTTGCTGAACCGCGGAATGTGTGGGACTGGTTTGTCCCAATGATACGGCCAAAGCGTGGACCGTACGCCGTCTCTGCCGGGTAACTTGGTCCGGGATGCACCCATGTGGGCTGGGACTGCCCCCAGCTATTCGTCGGCGGCAGCGAATGCTGACCGTAACCTGACGCTTGGGTTCGGCCAGAGATGCCGAGGCTGCTGCTTTCGCTGTAAGGCTCGATCCTTTCGCGCTCTTGGCCTCTCTGTCCGGCTCTAGGAGGTGTTGCGGGCGAGGTCGCCGGCATCCTCTCCTGGAATAGCGTCCGTAGTTCCGAAGAAAATCTGTCCATTGCGGCCATAAAGGATGTCTCTATCCTATGGGCCTGCTTAGACATGAGATCTTCCACCACGGCTTGCTCTTGTATGGACTCGGCCGTGCGATCCGTCGTCACTGGGACGCTTGCCGAGATTCTGACCGCGTGTTCAGTCTTGGTGACAGTGATTGGTGAGGTGGACTCAGGAGTCTCAGAAGTCATTTCGACTGCTTTGTTTTTGAGCTTTGCCTGTGCCCTAGTTTCCACTATGAGTTTTTGACAAGTATTCCACCGGGCGTGCCAAAGGTGTCGGCTGCGCAGATCTCACGGCCTGGGGTTCCGGGCCGAGGGGATGTGCGTTGACACGTGGCTTCCTGCTTTAAGATGCGGTGCGGTTGTGCGCGGGCATGCCAGCACGGTCTACCGTGCGTCGAGAGGTTGATGTGGATGGAAATGGTTAAGTGGTGCGCCTGTTTGAACTCGTCTTCTAATCAAACGATTGTAGCCGAGAGAG